AAGAAAATACTATGACTTAATTTTGAAAAACACATTCTATCGTTTACAGAAAGAGTATTTTTTTTACTAATATCATGGTATCGGAATTGGTATTGAGTATCGAATCGATTCCTTACTACTGAAATCAAGCTTTAAACTTAAGTATTGTGTAATAACAGCAGAAGTGGGGACTTGAGTCAGACTTGAGTCACTATTATTAGGACTTGATAACATGGACTAAGACTTGGGACTCGACTTGCACTTGAAGGTCAGGGACTTCAGACTCGACTCGGACTTGAGGCCTAAGACTTGAGAAGCACTTTTTAAATCTGAAATGTTTCTATTCTGACCGTAATGATTCACACTAAGATCTTGTCAAGACATTTAAAAAGGAAAAAAATAACTAAATTAATGTCTACAACTCTTATATACTCTATAAATATAAATATACTGTGATTTTTTTAAAGTACAATTTATCTTAAAATTCATATAAATTGCAAAAATCTAGGCTATATTTGGTACTTTTTTGGTTTAAAGACTTGAAATAACTTGAAGCTCAAAGCAGACGACTTGGATTTATGGGCCAGTGATTCGAGACTCGACTTGGATTTGCCTGTATTTGACTTGGGACTTGACTCGGACTTGAGGCCTGTGACTTGAGAAGACTTGAGAAGCCCTTTTAAATCTGAAATGTTTCTATTCTGACCGTAATGATTCACACTAAGATCTTGTTAAAACATTTAAAACGGAAAAAAATTACTAAATTAATATCTACGACTTGGACTTGACTTGGACTTATGGGCCAGCGACGCGAGACTCGACTTGGACTTGCCTGTATTTGACTTGGGACTTGACTCAGACTTGAGGTCAAAGACTTGAGACTTACTTGAGACTCGCAGAACAAAGACTGAGTAACAGGTTTAAAAGTAGCTCGATGAAGCAGTAATAGTAACCAACTGATGATAATAGTAGTACAGCTTAGTAGTACAACTTAGTAGTACTCTATTGGGTAAAGAAGTAGTAAACAACTTTCAAATGTATGCAAGGTCTAGTTGTTGCAATATAGTATGGACCGCATAATTTTGGGTATAAAATATAACTGCATTTGCGTTTGGATTTGCAATAAACTGTATGTCTAAAAATAATTCTGTTAATGGTGCATATTGTAGGCGGGAATGTTAATATTTCACAGAAATATGAACAGATAAACCAATACAAGAACCCCGTGCATTTCAGAACATGTTTGTAGAGGTCTGAACTGGTACGACAAGATTATCTATAAAAAAAAAAAGCAGGATATGTTCTTATTTGCAGTAGTGTTGTCATGATTATGGATGTAACAATAACCGAAATATCGTGATATCGTACCGTCAAAAGTCTCACAATATGTCGAATTACAAGTTCCTTTGCTTAAATGCATGGTTTTATAGTAGCAACAGCTTATAAACATCAGGAACTACATATCCCATGATTCATTTCAGCACAAACAACATGAAGTTATATGTTTTTTACTTGAATTCTTGGGATTATGACGGAAATAATTCAAGCCAAATTTCTGTCAGGGTATTTTAAAAGCAACTATCTGCAATTATATCAGCCTCTCCAAAATATCGCAATAAATATCGTACTGTGAGATGCATATCGTTATAATATCGTATCGAGAGATTTGGATATCATTACATCCCTAATCACGATATTAAAACTTCAAACTCGAATACTCAATACCAATTCTGAAACCATAAAAAAAAATTAAAAAAAACTTCTTTCTTTGATCTTTAAATCCATGAGTATTTTCTTTTATATTTCCATGTTTGCTCTTATTCTTGTTCTGATTCAGCTCAAAATCATTCTAAAACTATTCCGGAAAGGCTCATTTCTGTCCTGTGAATGTGGAAAAACAATAATATCTACATGGAATCGAGCAGACTCACAGTTCACATTTAAGTACAGTACTTTCCTTGTACTTTCTTACATTCCACCACTGATAGGCCTACATATATATATATATATATATATATATACGTCTGCATACCTTAACGTTAGCCTAACTAATTCATAAGACACACAGTACATCATGCTCTTTTCGTCCTTTCACAGTTTGTATTGATTTATGATTTACTTAACCACAGTGACGGGAAAAATACTTTGAAAATGTGTTTAGTTACAGAATACTGAATATATTGTAATATATTCTGATACATGGTCCAATCAGAGAACTGTATTCAGAGTACTTATAATACTTTCACATCGAGTTGCATAGAATAACGAGCACAACCTGGACCCCCATGAGGCATCGGTGGGGATGGTTCATCACCACGGAAACAGCCCATACCCCGGTTATGTGTGTGCCAACGTGTGTGGTGATTGGGGGAATATTTTAGCCTGCAGATGGTTCAGAAATGGCTGAAATTGCCTATAATTTATAAATGCGTGGCCTTTCAATTGACTGTGTGACCTCAAATGACCTCGGATCACCAAACCTTTTTTTTTTTGCAGCAGCAGCAGCAGCATTGGGCACGAGGGCTTGACCCACATACCAAATTTGGCGACAATCGGTCCATAAATGGCGGAATTATCACACACACAGACACACAGGGTGAATACAAAACCTGGTCAACCCTTCAGGGACCAGGTAGTAACAGATTTATATTTGTTTCACTGTTTTTAAAGGTGTATTGTGTAACTTTTTAGTGGAGGGTCCGTCACTTGCTTGTTTCTGTGGATATGTCATAGCTCTGCCTGGAATATTCCACAGGATGACATTAAAAAGCTCTACATTACATTACATTTATTCAATTACAGCTAGGAATGTAACGATATCCAAGTCTCACGATACGATATTTATTGCGATATTTTGTGGAGTCTAGCAAAACTGTGAACATTTGGACTTAATCCAAAGAATTAAGACTTAAAAGTGCTTAGAACTGTTATTTCTTCTTGTAGTCTGCACTGAAATGGAGCAAAGGATCATGGTCTATGTAGTTCCCTCTGTCTTTTTTGTCTATTGCTGCACCATAACTCTTAATTTAAGCAAAGAGACTAATTCCATATATTGTGATGGTCCTCGATATTATTGTGAGAACTTTGATGATACGATATCACGATATATTGGTTATTGTTACACCCCTACTTATAATACTTTCACACCAAGTTGCATATTATTAATAACAGCTTTATATTTGTTTCACTGTTTTTAAAGGTGTATTGTGTAACTTTTCTAGTGGAGGGTCCGTCACTTGCTCGTTTTTCTGTGGATATGTCATCGCTCTGCCTGGAATGTTCCACAGTAGGACATTAAACAGCTCTACACTTACATTACATTACAGTTATATAACGATATCCAAGTGTCTTGGTACGATATTTTCACGATATGCATCTCATGGTACGATATTTATTGCGATATTTGTTGTAGTCAAACAAAAATGTGAACATGTTACTTTTTCCTCTTAAAATGCCTTAATTCAAAGAACTAAGACTTAAAAGTGCTTAGAACTGTTATTTTTTCTTGTAGTCTGCACTGAAATGGAGCAAAGGATCATGGTCTATGTAGTTCCCTCTGCCTTTAATTCGGTATATTGTGATAGTCCACGATATTATTGTGAAAACTTTGACGATACGATATCACAATATTTTTTTAATGTTATTGTTACATCCCTAATTACCGCTCAAAAATACCTAGAAAAACAAGTATTCTGACTGTGAGCGGGGTCGCCTCTCCACAGATTTGGCCCGTAACTTGGTCTTGGTCTTGGCTTGTTCTCCAAGAAGATCGAATTAATTTTTTATTTTTTTATTCTTTGTTATTATAATACGCACCTTTTCTCCTTGGCATTTTCCCAGAGTTAGAAAGAAACACCTTGGCACCTCGCTGTTTTTATGATTATTTTTATGATTATTATTCCGCTTGATTTTTATTGTACGTTTTATGTCACTGTAAATGTTGTTCAGCACTTTGATAACCTCCGGCTGTTTTAAATGCGCTATACAGTACAAATAAATTCGATTTGATTTGATATTTTGTGATGCGTGAGCTACAGCGTCCCTCGTGGATGAATACAGTTTGTCGAAGTCGAAGTCTAAATCTAATACCACACTGTGAAACATTCCAGACAAAGCAATAACATCTCCTCCTGAAAAGTTACACAATGCACCTTGACTGAAGATGGGAAAATCCCTCGTGCACTCACCACAAAAGCGGAGTTTGTTGTGTATTTTTCTCACTGATTCTTTGCAGTTTGAAGCCTGAATTACACGATCAAACTCAATAATGTTTAGGTTATTTTTTTTAGAAAGTCTCCGTACTCTGAAAACCACCATGAAAACATAACAATACGTATTCATGTATTCATTTAATCCCCAGCTTTGTTCGTAACTTATAATGCTGCGAAACTAAATCATAACAGGGATGACATGGCCTTTTTTCCTTTGACACTTGTATTGATTTACGATTTTATTACCACGTACCACTTCAGGCTATTTATCTGACAACAGAATGAACCACGCAGCCCCAAAAAGAATGTGCAGAATAGTCAGATTTTCTTATCAATTCCCACGAAGAGCGCGCCTGGTTTTGCGTGTGCTACGCATCAAATTATGACCATTCCTGGAAGGTTTGACTCACTGGGAGCTGCCTGGCGCTGATTCACGGAGCTGGCATCCGAAATCGGCCACTCTCCACACTCTCCACGAAACTACTTACTTTTTTTTGGACGCGATGAGCAATATCACAGCTCCACGCCACAAACGCACGCCCAGCCCCGGAGTCACACCGCCGGACAATGGCAAACTTTCAATTCCCCATGCACATTTTTTTTTTTTTTTTTGTGCAAATCAAGGAAACGCTACGTGTGGTTTAAGCTGACAACTTTTCACGAGTGAGCAAAACACCAACCGAAGTGTCAAGCGTTGAATAGTGTACGATAACGCGCTGTCAAATGATATTAACACGCCGTAGTACGATGTGGCTCTCGGGGCGGTTCCAAAACGTGAAATAGGCTACGACTGCGACTACAAGGACTCACCTCTGGCTGTTATGCGTCTACGTAGAGTCCCCGTGCGTCCTATCCACGCGTAATGATTGCCAACGGGTGACGGTCCGGGTTCCCCCCTCCTCGCTGTCAGTCGGACGTGAGCGGCGCGTCGAGGTTGGCGTTGGAAGTGGCGTCGCGGGCGCAGAGGGCAGCAGAAGCACAAGGAAGGAGGGGAGGGAGGGGAGGAATCTGTACTCGTCCAACATGACACAGCAGCAGCGGTAGCGGCGGCGGCGGCGGAGTCACGGGCGAACTGTGCGTGCGCGAGCGTGTGCGTGAGTGAGTGAGGCGCGCGCACGGGCGGATCAAAGCGCGGGTATTCCTCAAACCGAAAGTGGTGTTATATAACGTGCGTACGGGCGGCGCACATTGGACTCGAGGAGGCACGTGGTACGGTTCGATTTGCATTCGGGATGACGAGGCAGATTCGCACAGGGCGGCTTTGTGACTTTTGACAACACTGACCCCTGCGCTGGTCCAGAATAGCCTGGAAAATTCTGGAGATTGCGCGCAGTGTTATCGGAATACGGCAATCCGGTCGCCATGGAGACAAGCAGCATGAAAACAAGCATGACATAACTTTTTTTTTTTGCGTTTTACTTTTTTGTGCACATAAAGCAGATGTCACAGAAAGAAGAAAATAATTAGTAATAAATAAATAAATGTGACCATTTTCCCCTCCCCCACTGTCACCAGAAAAAGGAAAGATAAATAATGGGAAAATGAAAATAAATGAATAAATAAATTACAATAAAAATAAATAAATAAATAAATAAATAATAATAATAATAATACATTTTCTTCCGCTTATCCAGGGCTGGGTTGCAGGGGCAGCAGTCTAAGCAGGGACTCCCAGACTTCCTTCACCCCAGACACTTCCTCCAACTCCTTCGGTGGGACCCCATGGCGTTTCCAGGCCAGCCCACAGACATAGTCCCTCCAGTCCTTTTACTTTTTACTTTTTTTTTCTTTCTTTTTTTTACTTTTTTGTGCACATAAAGCAGATGTCACAGAAAGAAAATAATTAGCAGTAATGTAATGTGACTATTCCCCTAACCCACTGTCTATAATAATAATAGATATAATAATAAAGTAAGTAAATAAGTCTATAGGGAACAGAGGGAAGTAAAAAAAATAAATCAGTATGAGGAAAAAACATCATCATACATATACACATATAAAAACATAAAAACCTCAGGACTGTGGCGAGGCTAACCAGCTTGCAATAAAGAAATGAAGGCTGTTGTTTTGCAAGGTAAAACATGCACTGCTGAATAAATGCAAGTTAAGGAGCCATGTTATGCAATTTTCTCATCTGTGTCGTAATGTTGTTTCCTCATTGCAAACACCGGGTGTTGTGTTTTGTTTTATTCACACAAACCCTGCTTATTTTGGTTGATTTCTTCTCTCAAACAGAAAACACTTTTTTTTTTTCCCACCTTACATGAAGCTCTGTTTTTAAACTCCATACGCCTTCACGAGGTAGCTGTAACTTCAAAACTACAGGCTCATGACATCACAGAGTGGAACAGAACATTATGAGGTTCGCAGACCAGGGATGTAACAATAACCAGAATATCGTGATATCATATCGTCATATCATAAATTCTCACAATAACCACCACAATATATCAAATTACAAGTCTCTTTGCTTAAATTAAGAGTTATGGTGCTAAAAAAAAGACAGAGGGAAAGAGGGAACTACATAGACCATGATCCTTTGCTCCATTTCAGTGCAGACTACAAGAAGAAATAACAGTTGTAAGCACTTTTAAGTCTTAGTTCTTTGGATTAAGTCTTGAGAAGGCATTTTAAGAGGAAAACACAAAATATCACAATAAATATCGTACCGTGAGGTTCATACCGTGAAGATATCGTATCGTGAGACTTATATCATTATATCGTTACACCCCTATTATAGGCAGATTAATAATAAAGGATTACTCAAACAATAAAACAAAACACAACTCCAGGTAGCCTATATTTTTGTTGAGTTGAAGCATTATAACACAATTTAAAGCTTTTAGAACACCACACTTTTTAAGTTTTTTACTGTTTCCTGTTGACCAAAACGTATTCTAAACTTTTGATTGATGAAAGTGTCCACCTTTGGCAGATATAACAGCTGCACACACTCGTGGCTCGTTCTTTTTAAAATAGAAATCAAATATTCTTCAGAAAGTTCTTCCCAAGTCTGTTGCAGAAGTTCCCATAAATGTGTGGCACTTGTAGGTTTTCTTGAATTTCACTCTTCTGTCCAGTTCATCCCAAACCAGCTCGATGGGGTTTAAGTCTGGAGACTGTCCATGTTTTCAAGCTTTTTTTAAATTCTCTCTCTTTTTAAATTCTCTCTTTCTCTCTTTAATCTTTAATTTTATGATGATTATGTTTTGATTTGTTTTTATTGTGATTTTAATGTTTTTCTTATTCTGAAAAGCACTTTGAATTACTTTGTGTACGAATTGTGCTGTACAAATAAACTTGTCTCGCCTTGCCATCGTGCTCTTTTTTCCTGAGGTAGTTTTGGCAGAGATTGGATTTGTGTTTTTATATCTTTCATCTTTCATCTTTTATCTTTTTAACCTCTGGCTGTTCAGCACTTACCTTTGTACTCGCATGACTTGCAATAAATAACTGGAAAAATGAGGATGTTCTAAATCTTTTGACTGGTAGTGCAGCTTACAGGACCTTTAAGGAAGTTCAGTGCCATACTTTGAAACATTCCAGCTCCGGAGCAAAGCCTTTAAATCTCCAGGAAGACTATAGGAGAAAAGTTAAAACCGTACTCCAACTTTTGACTTTGACTTTTTTGCAGTTGTGTTTTCAGGACCCCTCATGACATTTAAAAAAAAACCCCAGACCGAACTAAAAGCGCACGCACAGTTGCATAAGTGAAGCGCTGAGGTTGGATGTTATTGTGACAAAGACAAGAAGCCTGGATTACTGTATTATTGTTGTCATAATCTGGGCCCATGAACATGAAGGCGTGTTCTTGAGCTAATAATAATAATGATAATAACTGGATTTATATAACAGTGCTTTAATGGACACTCAAAGACTCTTTACAGAGCACGATTTATTCACTACATTCACATACTTGGTGGTTTTAAATTTACCGACATAATCCAGAAGACAGTTTCAAGATCAAATCCCTACACTCTACAGATACATTACCGCCGCTGATGTCGTCAATATTGCCTGCTGGTGTGACGCTAACTGGAGGCACTGCTCTGTCTGAAGCTCTGTTACTCGAGTTTGACTTATTTTAATGTCACGATCTGAGCATAAAGAACTGATTTGGCTGAAACTAAAATGAGTGATCTGACTTGTGCCGTTAAACAACACAACAAAGTAGCGATGTAAACATTATTTTTCAAGCGTCCCATTACTTCGACATTTTTTTCACTGTTGGAGTAGGGGGACTTTTCTATTTTTCAAACATTCCACTTGTCCGACTAATAATATTAACGTGATAGCCTATTATGCTTTGGTCTTTGCGGGACAGAATTTTCAGTCTTGCTCCCGCTCCCGCCCGCATTGTGCAGTTCCGCTCCCGCCTAGAGTCAGGCTGGTGCCACCTAGTGCAATCCGTTCAATTTAATTTCTCTCCAGCAACTAGGTCAGGAATCAAAATACACTAGACGGTCTGCAAGAACCACTGAAGTGCGAGTCTGGACACCAGCCAATCAGCGAAGAGCCATACATTCTGTGTTGTTTGCTAATGTGTGCATTGTATCACCACAGTAACTGCTTAAAATTCAGCCATACACATACACGCAGAACCCCCCCAGCAAGTTAATTCAGTGACTATGGAACAAAATACTAGCCTGATTCATCAGCTGGTTTCACTTCATGGAAACCATCTGACCTTGCAGCATTAGGATTCGTTTGTTCGATGCTATGCAGTATTTCTTTATTTAACCAGTCACTGCTATTTGGTCGTGACGTATGTAATGCTCCGTTAATGTGGCTAATTGGTATATTAAGCTTTTCCCAAATCCCGTAGGAAGAAGGGCAATAACGTGTTTCCCCTTTCATGAAATTCATCAAACATGCTCTTTGTTCCGGCTTTAAATCCTCGATCTCGGGAATTCGTTGCCAACACAGAATGTACGTCTTCATTTACATCCATCTCGACCACTTTGTTTACTGTTGTGCTGCACCACAAAAGGAACCCAGACCGGCGCTTGAGTTTGACGTCATGGCTTCACAGCTCTTCACTGATTGGCCAGTATGTGGTCTACAACTTCAGGGTTCTTGCAAACCGTCCAGTGTATTCTGATTCCTGATCTAGTCTCTGGAGAGAAATGAAATTTAGCGAAGGCATTAGGTGGCGCCAGACTTGCTGTCAAAATAGACCTTCATTGGTGGAATACTTCGAGTTGGAATCGCTGACAACAAAATTCCATGTTTTCCATCTCAGTCTCTTGAAAATATGTGGGGTTTTTTTTGAGTTGCATTGTTTCACCACCGTAACTGCTTAACATTCAGCCATAGACAGACACACAGAGTCCCCCAGCGAGATAATCAAGTGACTTTGAAACAAAATAAAACTTCATTGATGGAATACTTTCAGTCGGACTCACGTAGAGCCAAATTCCACGTGTTAAAGTCCCATGAACGCTCGTTTAGATCACAGGCTCTTGAAAATGTGCTGCTAAAATCCATTTTGTTTTTGTTTTTGTTTCTTGACTCTGTTTGCTGATGTGTGCACTGAATCAATACCTCACATAAACAGACATGCAAAACCCCCCCAGCGAGAAAGTTCATTGATTCTGGAACGAAATAGACAGAATACTTCCAGTCAGACTTGCATACAACTAAATTCCACGTATTAAAGTCCATTGCAGATAAAAATACCGTCATTATCATCTCTCCGGAGAAGTCTCATGGCTGTGCACGTTTTGCAAGCATGTTTGGGCACCCGCCAAGGACACGGTAACCCAAATTACCCATGGGTGTGGTCTGTTCTGCAGAATTGTACGCCCGGGTCATCTAAGGTAACCTGTTTTGCATTTTGTAATTCACGCTTTTGACAATTCTTTTGACAACAGCTTCTACAACACCCATATCATGACACGTATTTTCATATTTGAGCTTGTGTTTTGTGATCACGCTTTCAGAGATTTCAGTCTTGCGGTTTGGTTTTATAGCTTGAGGAAGTTGCAGAGAAAGCAGATGCATGGTGATACAGCAGATTGTCACACAGACCCCTCCCCCCGTGGACTCGTTTGCACCCGGGCTCGTAAAGTCACACTGCTCAGCCTCCAGGCACAAAGGGAGGAAGGCTGGATTTCATAAGAGCGCGCAGGT